TAATTATAACAGATACAATAATTACACAGCTTAGCATACATTCAGATATCCTTAAGCCTATAAAAAGTAGGAAGGGAAGTTCATTGAACTTAACATAAATATTTTAAATGATTCTCTTTAAAACACGAAACACTTAATTGATGCTGATACAACTTAAAAATATTTTTTGTCTTCATATAATACTTATAATCATCTAATATTTATAATCGTTATAACAACATACAACAAAACGCGAACACAGCCGACGACTGAACTGAACTAACCGCGTGTACGATGTAATATTTAAAACTGTTATAATATATTATAACAGTTAAAACAACAGTTAGAAAAATATATTACAACAACATAACGAATTAGCAAAATATAACAGTTTCGCCCATCTTTAGTCACCCCTGTTGGCATCGAGCCGAGCTAGGGAGCAGACGGCGAGGTCGGGCTGCACCCGGCCCGCCGCTAGGGCGCGCTCCTAGCTAGGCACGCGGCGCCTGCGCCGATGACGTTCTCCGGTCGCATTATAGGGGTCGCGAGAGTTTTTGCGCGAAGCCGGGTTGTTCATATATTGAAAGTCTCCTTGTTTTGTCTTAGACTTATGTTAATAGAGCGCCATTTGCCATTTGAACTTAAAGACAATTAATTGGACAATAAATAATAAGTGACAAATCTTGCCGTGGAGCGTGGAACTGAGTAGTTGCGCGTCTTGTTAATATAATTGCCGTACGGCCGCCCTGACGTATGTACTGCGCGAACCTGAGTTTTTTGCGACGCGGTCCGGTGATACAGTATTTTTCACAAATAGTGTGTTCGTTATAACGCGGGTTCGGTTAAATCTGGTTGAATTTGATTGGATTAAACCTAAGTAACTTGTTAATATCAAAGAAAAAGAAATACTGCATAAATAAAATAAATAAATAATTACAATTGCATAAGTTGATACAAAATGCTATGCAATAGCTTTACCGCGGCAGTTCCCGAGTGCCACACGTCTTTTTTTGTGTATTCAATATTATGCAGTAATAAATTATACCGTCACTGTTACACGCCGTGACTGGCACGCCAGACACGGACCTCGATGACACTGAGGTCATCAGCATGAAAGAGATTGAACGTGCGATTCGAAGTTTGAAATGTGGTAAGGCTGCGGGACTAGACAGAGTTACTGCTGAAATGGTCAAGTACGGTGGGCCTCGCGTCTGGGACAGCTTCCATCTGCTGTGCAATTTGTGCTGGCGGACGGGAGATGTCCCGGATGATTGGCGATCCGCGGTCATTGTGCCTTTATATAAAGGTAAAGGTTCACATTTTGACTGCGGGTGCTATCGGGCGATCAGCTTGACCAGTTTAGCAAGTAAAGTTTACTCGAAGGTTTTGACACGTAGGATGCAAGAGAAATCGGAAAGATTCTTATGGGAGGCACAATGCGGATTTAGACCTGGAAGAGGATGCACGGATCAAATGTTTTCTCTCCGCATGATCACGGAGAAGCTTCTGAGTGTTAACCAGAAGATTTTCTGTGCTTTTGTGGATCTGGAGAAAGCATTTGATAAGGTTATAAGGAAGAAAATGTGGGAACTGTTGCCGGGATATGGTGTGGATGGTCGATTGTTAAGGGCTGTGCAGTCACTTTACTATGACTGTAAAGCCTGTGTGCGGGTAGGGCATGACCTGTCACCCATGTTTAGCGTCCAAGCGGGCGTAAAACAGGGTTGTGTCATGTCTTCCTGGCTGTTCATACTGTATCTCGACAGCTGTTTACAGAAGCTGAAAGATAGCTGTTTGGGTGTGAAATTGGGTGACATAAAAGTTAATTGTCTGCTGTATGCTGATGATGCAGTGCTTATTGCACCATCAGAAGCAGAACTGCGGGCATTAGTCACGTGTATGAAAGAGGAATGTGAAATTAAAGGTCTCCGTTTGAATGCTAATAAAACTAAGGTTCTGGTATTTGAAAAGGATGAAGAGAGAACGAAATGGGAAATATGGGTAAATCAGGAATGTCTAGAACAGGTAAATGAAATTGTATACTTGGGGAGTGCTTTCAGCCGGGATGGAAGATGTGATTTAGATGTGGATAGGCGTGTCGCTGCCGGAAACAAAGTCAATGGTGCCCTGAATGCATTAGTAAAAAGGCAAGGCGTGGTGAAGAGTGCACGCCTTGCAATACATAATGCAGTGTTGGTACCGACTTTGTTATATGGCAGCGAAACCTGGGTATGCCAGAAGAAGCATAAAAGCAAGTTGAATGCAATGGAGATGCGATCTCTTCGTAAAATGTGTGGCGTTACCTTAGCCGACCGAAAGCGAAACGAAGAGATTCGCAATATGGCAGGATTGAAAGATGACCTTATCACAAAATTTGATAGGGGCGTACTCCAATGGTTTGGGCACGTTGAGCGAATGAGTGAAGACCGAATGGTGAAGAAAATATATAGAGCGAAAGTAAATATTAAAAGGTGTCGAAGTAGACCGAGACTAACTTTCGAAGACCATGTGAGCAAATTGCTCGAAGAGGGGAAGGTCAAGAGTACTCGGATACCTAGACGTGCATGTATGAAGAAGTTAATGAACCTGAAGGAAGCGAAAGAGGTATGTAAGGATCGTGACACTTGGCGATCTGTTCTCTCTGGCTACCCCGTTAGGGATTGTGCGTGGAGATAAGTAAGTAAGTAAGTAAGTCACTGTTACAGCTTATTAAAGTACACCGCTGAACACATAGGGCTCCTCATAGATTGTATCATAGATGGGATATTTGCCATAGTTGCCACGCTTGGCAAGCGGGTCAGCAACCACAGTTTTTTTGATTCTTTTTACGGGACGGCTTTGATTGAAATGCTGATCCGCAACCTTTTTGTAAGACGAAAAGTGGTGTGTGTAAACACTATTCAGGCCATTCGGTCGATCATTCAAGTCACAAACGCAGGGCATTACATACTATAAAGTATATAGTACTACAATTACAAGATTACAACGGTCTTTTGTTCAAATACTAATCTTATATTAATTTTATTTAAGACAGTTACCAAGGTACACGTATTTATTTTAGTAAGATTGAGCTGAGCGCACTTAAGTTATAGCGCCACCTACTATGTTGTATAGGTAAAGATATTTTATCGAACAAACATTGATTGACTCTGAAGGTGGTATGTAGAGTAGATGCTAAATGGTATAAACCTAAAAAAAATTGGTGCCCATCTCCTGATTTATTTCCTTATGTCGCCTTTTACGACGACACTAATCGGGTAGTGAATAAAATTAAGTTCATTCTATCCTTATTTATTTCTATAATTTTGTTACCCATTTTTTTTCAAATTGAGACGTAGGATCAGAGTCTGATTTCAAAGTCTATAATTAAAGTGTATTCTTAAGAAGTAAACATAATTTATATACATTTATAGAAAATTATTTTAGTTAGTTTATTTATTAACAATTATTTAAGTACCTAGGCGATTTTCCTTCATGCTTAACTAGGCTTAGAACTAGCAGAAAAGTTTTAAATTCAAATTCTCAATTCAATTTCAAAATTCAACTCTATTCACCGCAGGTTTACCTGATTTGCACTAGCCGCTGATTCGGCTCCGGTGGAAGCAGTGGTCGGAATTGTCTTTTTTATCGAAGTGTGACCATATTTCACTAGCCTTACGTGACATTCTGAATGTCAATATTCAAAAATGATTAAAAGTCTAAATGAACTTAAACTATACTATGCTATATTATAATTACACTTAACACATAATTGAATTATAACTACCTAATGCACAAAATACCCAAAATACACAAATATTGCAAAAAAAATGCTCAAACGCAACGTCAAAAATTAATAACTTCATGGATGTTATTAGGTATCTTAGCGAATAGATACAATTAAACGTAATTTTATATAGATAAAATTACCGTGGCACGAGCCACCAAGACCAAGTGCGTAATTGTTGCGTTCTAGAAAAAAGCAAATTCTAAACTTTCCATCCAAAATATAAAAAACATAAACATAAAGTTGCCTAAACCAAATATAATATACCTAATCATACAAATGCAAGTCTTGTGTCTATTGTCCTAAAAATCATTTAAATTTGACAACTCTCACAATTATTCAAACTTAAAAATTAGGCAATTTTAACAATTTGAAATTCGACCTTTTTGCTTTATGTAATTATATCCAGATGTGCATTGTGTAACGTGTGAAACTAAAATTACCAAAACAGAAAAACTCTCTTTCTATACGAATTTATGATACCGTCGCAAGAACAAGAAACAATGAATATCAATGAAGGACATCGCATCTGTTTAATTCGTGAACCATGTTGGCATATTGTTCCGGTGTTTGCGTTTTACGTTTTACAAATCTAAGCCTTGTGCCTAATGAGCTAAAGATCATTTGAAATTTGGTAACTCTCAGAACTACACAAACTTAAAATTTAAGAAATTTTAGCTATTTAAAATTCGACCCTATTGCTTTAGCTATACATTATATTTCGCAATGTGCACCGTTGTGTGATAACTACCAAAACATCGCAACGATATCCATATTCGCTTCATCTTTATTATTTAAACTATCGTTGCAAGAACGAGAAGCAATGAATATCAAAGAAGGTCATCGGTTAGTGGGCCGTTTTCAGTTTTGGGATATCGATCCACAGTTTGCGTTATGCGTTTCGGTTTCGTTTTCGTACGTTAGTTAGGTATATGGTTTTGGTTGGATATGTGATAACGTTTTTGTACTTAGGTTTATCGATATGATATGATATTTGATAATATAACGTTATTAGTTACGTTTTGATATATCGGTCTTTTGCTCTTATGCCTATCTATATATCAATTTTCAAAGTTATCGTATTATGTAATGGTTATTACACACACATGCACGCACGGACATGATATAACGTGTTTAATTCTACAAAATTACAAAATTGAAAATTCATGAAATCGTTTTATTATTTCCTTGGAAGAAAATTATATTTAGTTTTATCAGAACATTTTTAAAACTAAATTATTACTAAAATATTATCATGTTATTTTTTATTAACGAAACAAAACGGTGAGTATGTACCCACCCTTAAAAAACGATGTCACTTTGACAACTATGTAAAATGTAAACATAGCAAAATGACAAATTGAAAACAATCATGTTTTTTAAATTTTCTAACCTTTCTTTATTAACGAAATCTATTTCAAATAATAGCTCAATATTTATTAGACATTCCAGTGTTAAAAACTCATATGATGTTTTGTTTTTTGGCTCCGATAACATTGCTCTTGATAGCCTAAAAAAAGTGAACGAATTCAGGTAAGTAAATTAATTCAGTTATGTACATCTACTATAAGGTTAATATTTTAACTGCAGTAATAATTTACAACATAAAAGATTATTTATTTTACAGAATAAAAGAAAAACTTATCGGACGTCTTGATCTCGTAACAGCAAATACTTCTAAAAATAAATATGCCATAGAAAAATATGCCAATTCAGAATCTTTGAACACTTTAGCATGGCCTTTGCAAAATTTAGTTTCCGGCGAATACGACATTGGTTTAATAGTAGCCTTTGGTCACCTTATTAAGAATAACATTCTTGAAAAATTCCCTCTGTAAGTAAAATAATACTACATACTTGTTATAATTTAATGTTTAAATTAATTAGTCTTTATTTATTCAGAGGAATGGTTAATATGCATCCAAGTATACTCCCTCGGTGGAGAGGTGCTGCACCTGTCATTTATACTCTCTTACATGGTGATCATATATCTGGAGTCTCGCTCATGAAAATAAAACCAGATGTTTTTGATGTAGGTGAGTATTGACTATTAGTTATCATATATATTCTGCCCATGATAAACAAAGCAGAATATGAACTTCCTAAATATTATACTGCCCATTGCCTGTTTTATTTTAAATTATTTCATAAATTACTCTTTACAATTTTTATTACCAGCAAAGTATATACTGCATGTTTTGATTATTGATATTACCTCCACCTTAAATCCTAATTGGAATAAAATTGATGTATTTGCTTTGCTCTTATAAAAAAACAAGGGTAACTTTTAAAAACAAAAATCTTTGTATATAAAAATAGATTGCTGTGTATTTATTTAATAGTATTATATATCACTACTATATTATATACTACTAGTAGTTTATTTAATAATATTATATATATCTAGTACTTTATTAATAATATTATATAATATATCCTCACAACGGTCACAACATCCTTCCTTACTATGTGTCAAATATCTATTATCAGTAACTGTCATCCATTGCGGCGATTCAATTCCGCCATATTTTTTTAAATACTTTATTTACTATAATTATACTTCATTTTTAACACTAATTTTATAGTAATATATAAATTTAGATGAGAAAAACATGTCACATCCTATAAACCATAACATTATACTCATATGGTTAAAGAAAACACAAAATTAAGTAAATTATTTCTCCCAGGCAGAAAATTGTTGCAACATATAAGAAATGACGCCATTTAGTAAGATACTTTAAGAGGACAAACAGTGAAATTACTCAATACTTATTATATATTTACTAATATATATTTACTTGAAACAATTGCATATTATTATAATTGGTATTATGACTCAAGATACTTATTTTTTTTATAGGATAGGGTGACAAACGAGCAAGCAGTCCACCTGATGGTAAGTGGTTTCTGTGGCCCATAGACATCTACCTCCATAACATAGACATCTTCATCTCCTCAATTACGAATCAAAATGCAGATGCATTGTCACCCTTGAGGACTAAGATGGTATGCCTCATTTCCAGTAAAAAGGATCTCCGATTCTCTACACTCACCATACAAAACACAGCAGCATTAAGCCACTATTTTACACTTGTATTCTGTGAGAGTGGTCCATCCCCGGTTGAGTCGACCCATTTGTCCTATAACTATACTTCTAATATAACTGCAGCATGGCTCTACCACATATAAATATACCATGTATAATGTGTGTACAAAGATGCATAAATTCATAAAATTGTTATAATTTCTCCCACTCCATCTATTTTGTATATCAAGCCATTAGTCAAGTAATAAAATATTAATTAATATATTATTATTTGATCAGAATTAAATTTAGAATTAACAAGATATAACAAAATTATTAATTATTTAACAAAATTATGACATATTTTGAATTCATTATTATCCATCAAGGAAAGGTAACTGTTACTTTTACATTCTCTGTCAATTGATGAAGGTCAAATAAAATCAGTTATCATTTTTTTTAGATCTTTACAGTTCAGTTTTAGTATTTTAGTTGTGAAGTAAATATTGTGTTTGGCACCAATATGATCAAGTCTAAAATTTTGTGAATGTTATAATGTACATTATTGTTTTCAGGTGAAATAATTAGTCAAAAAGTAGTACCAGTTACAAAAGATATTAAGTTACCAGAGTTAACGAAACAGTTATCAAGTATTGGTGCTGATATGCTAGTAGAATGCCTGAGAAATTTGCCACAAAGCTTAGAAAACGCCCGACCTCAAAGTAATGAAGGAGTAACATATGGTAAAGTAAAAAACAGGCACCTACTTTTTTTATGCAAATGACAATGGCTCAATTTTACTTTAAAATAAAATACCTATATTCAAAAAATATTTTATAATTGAACAGCACTTATCTTTCTTTCTCTTACATTTACTGTTACACTGTAAACCAAGCAATATGCCTGCTATTCCCCTGGTGTCGCAGTTGCTCATGGGCGAAGGTCGACATGTACCATTATTTCAATGTCTCGAGATATTCGCCATCTAAGGTTGCAGTATGGGATCTCCTATAAAAGTGGCAAATACCACTACAAATTCCTTCAGATCTGTTACATATCATGCCACTGTTATTGACCCATTCTGACGCGAATTAATAACCATATATACCATAATATGCCTCTATTCCAATGATTGTACCAACTGAGTGTACCTCTCTCCCAGCGATCTCCACACTTTAATAATAATAATAATAATAATAATAAGGCGTAGGGAAGTGACGACCCCATCGCCCGCTGACGAAACAGTTAAGTGACAAAACTGCTACGTCGGTGCAGTCAGTCAGCGCCTTGCCAAGAGGTGTGAGCGCCGTGCCTCGGCAGTACTCAGGGTGCAAAGGCCCGTTTGTGCTTACGGCCGTACAATGATACAATAAAACGGTGCCGGGCCTGGGCGTCTCCCGCTAATTGGCGCCCAAAAATGGATGATGGATAAGATTGGAAAACGTATAGGGCCGCTGCCTGGGGGTCGCCGGGGCGCGTCTGGAGCTGGCGCTGGACGCGGCAGCATGCGGGCCGCCAGCCGAGCGCGAGAAGCTGCAAGATCACCTAACAGCCCCCCGCATCCATCATCCCCACCAGACGGCTTGATGTCGGCAGGGTCCTCTCGGACTCGGCAAGCGGCATCCGCCGCTGGTGGAGTGCGCCGCATGCGTTGGACAAGGGATATGAACGCAAACGCAATGCGGGCGTACTATAGGGCGAAAGGGGAAGAAACTGCGGGGATAGCGTATCGGGCTCGGATGCATTGCTTTTTTTGCTGAGCTGGAGCCGTCTATTCCCGTCACGGAACAAAACCTGGCAGACCGAGTTCGGTACATCATGCGCTCGAAAATATTCGATGATGCCGAGCTCGAACGACTACGACGTGAGGCCATTCCCTCATCGAATGAATTGGCTACGGCTGGGGATGAGGCTCCTCAGGCGACAGACCAGCTGCCACGAGTAGAAGCCGCCATGGATCTTCCAGTTGTGGGTGATTCAGACGATGATGAAATGGTCTCCCACGAACTAGAGCAAATGAGGAGTATATTGGAAGAGGCGATTTTAGAAACGCGCAGCATGCCTCTCGAAAATCGACCGCGACTTCCCCGCATACCCCTAAGCAAGCGAAATCGGGCTGTCGTGAGGGCTCTTAACCCAATGCTGGTAACCTATTTGGAAGCCAGCCGGGACCTTTGCGAGACGGACTCAGTTCTTTTTGGCGCCGCAGTGGCAGCTTGCCGTATTATTGGCGCCAAACTTCCCATGGCTGGACGTGCTACTAAACAAAGTAGCGCCATCCCAGCCTGGAGAAAAAGAATTGAGGACCGTATCGCAAAAGGCAAGGGCCCTTATCGGCAGACTGATAAGCTTCAGGTCGGGTAATAATAGACCGAGGGTTGTGCGCACCGTTAGAATGGCGTTTGCTGGGACAAATATCAGTTTGTCCCAGCCGGATATCACGCAGAAACTAACGGAGCGCATAGACGACCTGAAGCAAAAGATTGCCGCTTGGGGGAAGCGGATTCGCCGATTTACCGAGAGGTCAAGGCGGTTCAACCAGAATCGTCTCTTCCAGAGTGATCAGAAGAGGCTCTACAAATCATTGGAGCGACCAGAGGTATGTGGAGCGGGCCCAGGACCGGATCAGGCTAACACTGTCGCATTTTGGCGTGGCCTGTGGTCAGAGCCCGTAAACCACAGCGAGGGCCCTTGGACGGAAGTTGTGGCGAGTCAGTGTGCGAGTATTACGCCCATGGACCCCGTCATCATAACGCCGGATGACGTAGCTGAGGCGGTCCGTAGAGCCCCGAACTGGAAAAGTCCGGGACTCGACGGACTGCATCACTACTGGCTGAAGGGGTTCATGGTGTGTCACGCTGTGCTCGCCCGTCAGTTTCAAGAGGCTCTCAACCAGAAGTCGCTCCCTAGCCTCTTCACTACTGGGATCACTCATTTGGTTCCTAAAGACCAGGTTACCACAGACCCGAGCAAATACCGCCCCATTACGTGTCTACCCACCATATATAAGACACTGACATCCATTTTGAGCGCGAGAATCACTCGTCACCTGGAGCTAAATCAGGTGATGTCACGCGCTCAAAATGGATGTCGGGGCGGTGGTCGTGGAACTAAGGAACCACTCCTCATTGACGCGGTCATTGGCAAAGTGGTGAAACGCAACCGTCGGAACTTCTCCGCCGCCTGGATAGACTACAGAAAGGCATTCGACTCGGTGCCCCATACATGGCTAAAGAGAGTCCTCGAGCTGTACAAGATAGACTGTACAGTGAGAGACTTCCTCGAGCTGTGTATGGGGCAGTGGAGTACGATCCTTTGTCATCTGGGTGAGCGGATGATGGCTGCGGAGAACCACATAAGGATAAGAAGGGGTATCTTCCAGGGCGATTGTCTGAGTCCAATCTGGTTCTGCCTCTCCCTGAACCCTCTCAGTACCTTACTGGAGGGATCCGGGAGAGGATTTCAGCTACGGAAAGGAGGGACAAAAGTGACCCACCTTTTCTATATGGATGACCTTAAGTTATTCGCCTCCAGTCGCTCCCATCTTGTGGAATTGCTGAAAATCACTTGTGAGTTTAGCAGTTCCATTGGAATGGAGCTGGGGACGGATAAGTGTGCGGTCCTCCATGTTGAGAGGGGAAGGGTTGCTAACTCTGAGGGCATAGATTTATCTATGCCCGTCAACTTAAGGACCCTTTCCGAGGCTGAAACATACCGATACCTGGGTATGTCACAGAACATCGGTATCGATGAGGCTGGTGTGAAACAGTCAGTTTGCGACGTGTTTTATGCACGCTTGACCAAAGTGCTTAATAGCCTTTTGTCCGGTGTGAATAAGACACACGCATATAACGGTTGGGTCATGCCTGTCCTTATGTATACCTTTGGCATACTCAGGTGGACTCAGACTGAACTTAACGCCCTGGATAGAAAAGTCCGCACTACCATGACGTCCCATAGGATGCATCATCCGAGATCGTCGGTAATGAGGCTGTACTTGCCGCGAAAGCATGGTGGGCGTGGCTTTCTAAGCGCGCTCACTATGCATAATCGTGAAGTGTGCAGCCTCCGTCATTACTTCCTGGCGAGATCGGATGATTCATTCTATAATGACGTCATTTCTAGTGATAAAGGGCTTACCCCTCTATCCTTGGCCAACGAGCAATGGCAGGACCCAGCAGTGCTTAGCATTTCCGACCGGGAGACCGTATGGAAGGAGAAGGAGCTCCACGGGAGGTACTACAGGGTTCTACATGAGCCCTTCGTAGATACAGTCGCCTCCCTCAACTGGCTACGTTTCGGTGACCTCTTCGGGGGAAACCGAGGGTTTTGTCTGTGCAATACAGGATCAGGTTATTAAGACCAACAACTATCGGAGATACATCCTAAAGGATGGCACCGTCGACGTCTGTCGAGCTTGTCGCCATCCCGGGGAGTCACTTAGACATGTCATCTCCGGTTGTTCGGCGCTTTCTAACTCTGAGTACTTGCACAGGCACAACCTAGTAGCCAGAATTCTACACCAGGCGCTCGCTCTGAAATACGGTCTCGTGGACCGGAAATTGCCGTATTACAAGTACTTGCCGGAAGCCGTGCTCGAAAATGATCGCGCCAGGCTCTATTGGGACCGGGCCATCACCACAGACAGGACTATTCTTGCAAATAAGCCTGATATTGTGCTGATGGACCGGGCACAGTCAAGGATATTTTTGGTCGACATTACCATTCCGTATGACGAGAACCTCGTGAAAGCCGAAACAGATAAGCAAACAAAATATCTGGACCTGGCTCACGAGGTGACCGACATGTGGGGTGGTCTGCCTTCTGGACCGAAATTATTCCTGTAGTCGTCTCTGCAAACGGGCTAATCCCAGTCAGCCTCTCGGGTCATCTGAGGCGGCTGGGACTACGTGACGGACCGCTCCGGGTTCAAATGCGGAAGGCGGTGGTCCTCGATACCGCCCGCATCGTCCGTCGGTTTCTTTCCCTTTCCCCCTAACCCTCGGCCGTTTGGTCTCCCCTGCCGAGGGCCTCCATCTGGTTGGGTGTTTATTTATTTGTGTACTTTTTTGTATTTATTTTATTTTATTGATATCTATGTATATTTGTCTTTTCATTTTAATTTATAATTATATATTTATAGCAACCAACCAGATGAGAAAACTATACAGATACCCCAAAATATAATAATAATAATTCTTTATTATCAACAAAAATAAATCACAAAAGTTTTTGAAGTCTCTGACTCCCAAACTAGACGAGTTTGTATCTATTTATAATATGATAAATTATTCTATATGTGTTTTATTTAACCTCTATACTACTATACATATATATATATATATATATATATATATATATATATATATATATATATTATATATATATATATATACATATATATATATATATACATACACATATAGATATGTACACACACACATAAATATGCACACATAAACACACACACACATATATAGATACATGAATATTAAAGTTTACATATAAATTATGCATTAACATAACCGAAACGTTAACATTAATTTTCACATAATAATCACTTCCCTGTTTTTTGTTTATTTATTTATTTTGGAACTATAAATTAAATTAAATTAAATTTTCCGTATTATTATAATCTAACGACAACAACCAATCTCGAACTCTAATTTTACACTCATGTTTTGAAAGGGGATAGAAATTTAGAATTTTGTTAAGTTTGTTATAGAGTACTATAGAGAGATAT